TGCAGTTCCAAAGGGAAATGAAACAGTTTTGCCCATATTTGCTTTGTTATTTAGCTGGAACAGCTCAAATTAATTACTCTCATCTTCCTCACTCTATTCATTATTCCAGCTGTAAACACATTAGTCAAATGAAATGCCTCTGAGCACACCTGGCTTCCTTATCTTTGGCGCCGTAGACGACAGGGTGGTTCGGCTTTCCAACGTGCTGCGAGCAGAGTATTAAAGAAACCCAGTGCCATTTACGGGATATGGTACCTGCCGCCTCTTCTGCCGATAGCTGCCTCCCAGGAAGCCTTAATGTATGAGATTTGTCAGTGTCAATTTCCCAGCTAATCTCTCTGGTCCACCTCGCTGCTGCCTCCACCGCCCATTCATTCTGCTGCTCTGTCTATACCTGCTCGCACCATCCCGCGTAGGACACAAAGGCAACAGGAAGCCGATGGGGAGGAGAAGCATCTGTGGTAGCTGATGCTGCAGTGTGACCTCGCATGTGCAACCAGCAACACAGCTGATTCACAGCCAAGGAGAAGTGTGTTGGATCCATCCAAACAATGAAACAAAGTCTGAGTTTTCACTCATTACAAACCCTTTCTGACAAGTCTGAACACAACAATGGAATTCATAATCGACTCCCAAAATACCACAAACACACTGAATATTCTCTTTTCTGAAAACAAAGCCTCGCTTGTTTACAATGTGATGCGCTTATACCACGACAAGAGCACATGAATGTGAAGCCGACACTCTGATCACACTTATATTTTAGTCCCGTCTCTTAGAAATGACGTTTAAATTTACTACGTATTTAAAACTGAAAATTCATTTGAGGGAAACATAATGCTGAGAGAATTTTGCATGATGAAGAAATGTTGCTTATAAACACACTGGGCAAGTTGTGAAAATGTTGATACACAACATATCAGAAAAAGTTCACTGACAGTGTATTCAATTTGTTTCCCAACAGAACAGGCGCCTTGGATTAATATATCACTAATCTTTTTTTACCCATCCCTGACCCTATTATTGCCTTTTTTTTAACATTTGACCAAAATCACGATCTTTCCATCCCATTAAAGGGGACCTGTTATGCTCTTCTGTATTTTGCTGTCTACATATCAAAATACATTGAAGGATTTTCATATTAAACATGGCCAAAGTCTTAAATAATTAGGTAAACATATGTAGAAGAAATCCCTGTAAGCACAAATACCTGGTTTTTATGCTGCCTTCGTTTTGTACTCGGGGTCAGAAGTGGGAATGACGTCACTTCCAGTTCACAGTTTTTGCATTCTGGTTGACAACGGTGGACAAGTCGGAAAAAATATATATAGTATAGTATAGACAGCTTCAAAACCATCATGCACTCCATCTGATGAACGCCGCAGATGAGGCTGACCTAATGTAAAACAAATAAGATAAAATTGCTATAAACAGTACTTTAGCAGAGTGTTTACTCACTATGTATGTGACCAGCAGCCATCTTGAATTCGTAAGTCGGGGCTGATGCGGTTGCTCCGAGTTTCCGAGTTGGAAATCCGATCTCAGGGTGTGTTCGAGTTTAAACTTCCGACTGGGAACTGGGACCATAATTGGGAGCATAAATACGGACTCCAACCAGAAGGGTAAGGAAAATCCCCAGAATGCTTTGCTAAATGTGGCAGTCAAAACGTAAACATGAAACATGGCTGCTACCAGTGCTGGTGAAGACGTCCGTTAATGTATGTTTTTCTTTGCAGATAATCAGGCAAAAAATATAAATCTGCTGGGATGTCTTAGTTTAACATAGACACAAAGGAAAACATCATTTGATCATTATAACAAGCATTTCAGATAAATCTCTGCTGTGTTAACGGTCCTGTGAGATGTTTCAGAGCTAGCTAACTATTTCAACATTTGATCAAATCAGTTTTATCAAGTTTTATTTATTCATGAATACTTCCAAGAAAGAATTGAACATTTTTTTGGATGGTTGTAATGATGGTGCAGAGACGCCGAGATACTAAAAACCCAGAAACACTGATCAATAGACTTATACTGTAATGCTTACAACTAGAGTTGTACCGATACCGATACCAGTATCGTTAATGCCTCCGATACTGCTTAAAATGCAGTATCGGGTATCTGCGACTACAGCCTATGACCAATCCGATACCATGTAATGCCTCACGTCATTACGCATACGCACGCTACAGGCAAAGGAAACGGAAACGGAGCGGAGTTTTAAAAAGCATTCTACTGCAGCCTTTAAAATGTCTTTTTTACCAAATTGTGTAGCTGCACTTTAACGTCTGTCTTGATCTGTGTCAACACTGGATAATAATAATAATAATAATAATAATAAAAAGTTTTATGGCATTCATTCTACTGTTATGTATCTATTTCTTAATATTTTACATAGAGTTTTGGGAGTTGAGACATACAACAATTCATATCCCATCCATTTTTATTTTATGCACTGGTATCGGATCGGTACTCGGTATCTGCAGATACTTAAGGTTCAGGGATCGGGAAGGAGAAAGTGGTATCAGTACATCTCTACTTACAACCAGTTATTTCTCTGTGAGCTCTTTGTGAAACCAAAGAACAGAAACATAAATGCTTTAGAAGCAGAAACTTCTGTCAGTCCCCAGAATCTGATTTCCCTACGTGAGTCCTGATGATGCAGGATGACAAACGCCACAACTGTCCAATCAATGTGTCTCCTGACAGTCGGTAGAACTTCATATTTTTTCATTTGCAAAAAGTCAGTGTGAACAGGACCCAAAACTGAAATGCAACAATGGATCATTTTCTCCCTTCTGGTGCTACCTAGTGAACCAAACTACAGGTGTGAAAGCATCTTTAGGTTTTGCATAGTTATATTCTATAATGTTGGTTTTCTTTTTTCTTTTATAACAAAACATCCCCAGTGGCAAAAAGCAAAGGAGTATAAGCACAGTATAGGTACATACTGTGTTTCTGCAGAATGAATGGTTGCTTTTTTAGTGTTTGGTTGCATCCTTGTTTGATGCTGATACATTTTGGCAGAAGGAGAGTCGAACTGAGACAAAACAGACGTTCATTTATGGTTCCAAAGGTTAATGTTACTGTTTTTCTGTAGTTTCAATATTTTCACGTTATTTCAGAAACATCATATACCAAGTAGCAAAGTTTAAACATTCATAGTTATACGAATAATGTGACATATGGAATGTTAAGTCATAATAAATGCATAAAACAAGGCATGCGTGAGCGACACTGAACAAGGTGACACAGTGTTTTTTATCCAAACTGCAGCTCACGGCTCACGGCTCGTTCTCTCAGAGCTCAGGGTGAGCCGAGAGCCGTTAACCAGGTTCAGCCACGGTGACATTCAACACTCTGACACTCAAACACAAAGGAGGGATAAACTGCGAATCAATAGAGAAAGAAAAGCTTTTTGTTCCAAATTTATTGCTCTGGCTTCTGAATAGCTAACGTGCTTTTTTAACAGTGTCAAAAACCAACATTACTCAAGAAAAGAGGAAGTATTTATTTCAGCAGCAGACGAGAATTTGGCAGGCAGAGAGGTGTAATTTGCCTTAAGTTCTGCAGTGAGCAAAATGCAAATTTAGGCTACATTAAGAAAGCCCGTGTTCTCTGCTCATTACTGTTGGACGCTGGCACACTGCAAAGCCTCCTGGCCAATAACATTACAACATCACTTAATTAAAATAATTTTGCAGAAAACTAAATGAAGACCTTCACTCACATTAGCGCCAGACCTCAGAGGATGACATTCAAACTTTACCAGTGAGAAATGAACAGTCGGTTCGTCCCCGGAGCTGCAGGTGTTTGAGTCCCGGCTATTTTCAGAATGAAACTTTTTTTTTTTTTTTTCTTGCATTTCTAATGCTGATCTCACACTTTGTTGTTTGGCTTGCGTCCCACTGTGTTCTGGCCCGTCAGTGGAGGCCTGACTCTGCTGCTTCAGCTCAACACAAAGTGTGTTACACTTTTAGGAACTCCCATTTTTGATTATGATATTAAAACTAATCATCCTTCTGTGGATTCCAAATGTGATGACACACTTACACCAAAATAAGCTCCCACCTTTAAGGCATGTTCACCACATTTTTTTGTTTAAATAAGCAGAATAGTGAATCTAGAAAATATACCTAAGGGGCCGTACACATGCCGCGCTTATCGCGCCCTCAAATTCATTGTTTTCTATGTAGATGTGCGGCAGGTGCGCTCAAACGCCAGAGTGATGCCATCATGCCACACATGCATTCCAGAGTGCCCATATTTCAGGGCATGACGGCTGCGCCCTGAGAAACTGGGTCAACTTATCATTTTCATTTTCAGTCTCCGTTGTCTAGACTAAAACTCAAGCCTCAAGTTTACAGGCTAAAACAGGGTCAGCAGCGCTCTCAGTGGTCGCCATTTCAGGGGTTCCAAACATGTTGAGCACAGTTGTGCACTTTAAAACAGAAACATTAGCGTAAATGTAGCCACAGTGACTCCAGGAAGTTACTGCGGCCGACCTAAAAATTAAGCCGGCTCATAGCGCTTTATAAAGACACAGTTTTGTTGTTTTATGGCATAAATACATGGTAAACGATATATTAATGAGCTTTACAGGTGGTGGAAGGTGTATTTTGTTAATTTTAGACGGAGTCAGGCTAGCTGTTAGCGCCTGTCTCCAGTGTTTATGCTAAGCTAAGCTATCCAGCTGCTGGCAGTGGGTAGCATCGTATTTAGGATACAGACATGAGTGGTATCAATCTTCTAATCTAACTCTCGGCATGACGGCCAAAATTAGTTTTTCCCCTAAATGTCAAACTGTTTCTTTAATATAAAGATTTCTGGTTCTGTTAAACAAAGCAGCTCCAGTTCGGCTGCCGACAGCAAAAAGTTGCTTTTGTTACTGGATCAGTGAGAAGAAAGAGATAAAGAGTGTGTGTGTGTGTGTGTGTGTGTGTGTGTGTGCGTGTGTGTGCATGTGTGTGTGTGTGCGTGTTGCATCCTTTCATTCTCACCTTGACATTAATAATGTGTCTCGCTGCATTCCTTTGAGATCTGTAGGAACTTTGGCTTCATACGTCCAGACTCGCTCCACTGTGTCAGCTACAAAACACAAAGAGGACACAGAGTCATACAACATGACAAAAGCTACCGAGATCTGAAAAATGCTGAGTTTTAGAAAAGACTTCAGTCGGTTCTTCCTGAGGTTTTTTCCATTTCTCCCTGGTGAAGGACTTCTTTTAGGGAGAAGTTTTCCCTTATCTGAGGCGAGGGTCAAAGGACAGAGGCGTTGTGTTCTGTACAGACTGTGAAGCCCATTGAGGCAAATTTCTGATTTGTGATACTGAGCTATATAAATAAATCTGACTTAGACTAAATTTAAATATCTTAACATATTTTTGATGAATCGATCAGTAAATGAAGTTTTAATTATATGGCACACACATTAAAAACATAAATAATGAATAAATCAAGGAAAAATAAATTACAATATAGAACAAGGCACAATGAGAGACTGACAAAACACACATCACATAAAGACATTCTGTAGAAAGGCTTTCCTTGTAGAGGTGGGTTTGCACCAACACCTTTTGTTTTGCAGGTGGAGCGGGGGAAGGAAACATGCCCAGATTTGAGGGTCGGAGTGTTTAAAAAGTAGAACAAGGGAAAAAAGAAATCAAAAGGATCTCGTAGCTTGTTCTAAAACATACAGTACATCTGCTTTTCGCAATATTTCTCAGCTGAAGGAAACCGGACTGTACGAGCTCAGTAACATGATGGTCATGGTCATGTACTGCTCAAAGATGGTCACAAGATTGTTGGCGATAGGTTTGATATTTGAGTGAAGTGTAACAATAAACTGACCAGCTGATCAGGACCGATGAGCCTGGTGATATGGAACACCAAAGTGTGGCAAGATTTAGGATTTTTTTTTTGGCTTTTGCCTTTTTTTTCAATAGGACAGTTAAAGTGTGCAAGGAGGGGAAAGAGAGAAAGGGATGACGTGCAACAAAGGGCCACAGGTTGGAATAAAACCATCGGCTGCATGTTTAGTATAAGACAGTTGTTTTGTCAGTGAATCTTGTGAGTTTTAATTGAGCTGAATTTTGTAACATTATGGTTGTTAAATGTTGCTGTTGTTCCTGGCTTCATGTGAGTACAGGAAACTCTGCTAGCCACCAGGCTAATTTATACACAATAAAATGCCATAACGCCCTAATCTAATCTAATCTACGATAAGATAAGATAAGATAAGATAAGATCTTTATTGTCTCCCTTAGGAGAAATTTGTTTTGGATCTACTACGTCTTTACCAACCTCCTGAAATATATGACATCACAATGGGGTCTAATCACCAAAGACTTTTCTCATGTGCACATGTAAATAAATATTCTTTTCTCTCAGAACGAGTCTCTCCTGACTGATCTTCTGTTGTTACTCTATTAGACACTGGGTTTTGCTTTTTGCTCCTTAAATACTTCACATCTTTTATATTTTGTATATTTTGCCAGATATTTAAAACTCTGTGGTTTTTAAAATTGGGCCCAGAGTGTGACCCTGACACGGGGAACCCATTGGTTGTTCATTCTCTGAATCATTCTCTGGTACAAAGTAAAGTTAAAGTTGTATTGAATTGAGCTGGACATCTGCAGCATCATGAAGAGAAATACTGTGAATATACTTGTCTCTGTTTTGTATTCCTTTTCACCTCCTGTTTGAAAGTCAGAAGTAATTCTTTACAATAAAGTCTGGCATCATGTCTGAGCTGAATTTTGAACATTGAAATGAGGCTTGATTTCTCTTATCAACCTGTTCCTATATGGGTTATTAAAGCTCGGTGCGGTGCCAAATATCTGACCTGCAGATCTGATTCCTTCAGCTGAGGATGAAGTGTGATTAATGTGACGTCAGTTCATCAGCTGCTCATCCAGAATGTACAGTAATGTCCCTTTAGTAAAGCCGGCTGCAATGTGTCTAAAAATGCCTAAAATCCTTTGAGAGAAGTGACGTCCCGCAGACGTGTTTTATGCCATCATTTTAAAATCGTACTCTGTTTGGCACATTGATTTATTTCCCACTAAGCATAAGGCCATCAATTCGCTGCGTATGACATTACGGCTCGTTCAAGGCTGTCTGGGGAGAAATTATCATGCTCGATGATGTCGATGAGTTAAACCCATAGAACAGATGCACGCCTGATGTGGAATTCAAAGCACAATGAAATATTTCACTTCAAAGCACAGCGGGCTCTCCGGAGACGAACTGCTGAAGGTACAGAGCCGCGTTCGGCACAGTTCTGGAAATCTTCAATAATTCAGAGGAATCAATTAAACAGGGATTTTAATTATTGTCCAAGCTGTGCTGAGGATCATCATGTGTGACTGAAAAATCTGCACATTTAAAGGAATTCATCGGTTCTGTGTTTGTTCTGTTGTGTAAAACAAAACTCCTTCACTATTTCATGTTTGACATGTTTTCATTTTAGCTGATTCAATCTTTAACCTTTAGTCTCAGAAAACAGCAGCCTTCAGACCCTTAAACACCGGGGGCGTTTCTTCTTTTGTGCAATTAATTTGCACATGAGTAATCATATTCAGAGTGTTGTTTTTGTTGAGTACTTTAACTTTAACATTGAACGAGATGAATACGTGTTGAAAAAGAAACACAATTTGTTTTTTTCCGGAGAACAAGGTTGATTTTTACAAGCCTTTGCACCGTGCATGAACCCAGCTGGTACCAGACGTCGATTTGACATCAGAAAGACTCCTACGGTTGCAATAAAAAGTTGGTTGTTGAATTTTTTAAATGTCTAACGAAGTCAGAATTTCATGTTGTGTGGATGTTAACATTATGACATTTTGCAGATGTTAAAATATCAATGTCATCTGTCCTCAGTGTTCTGCATCAAACTGAGACGTTGGCATTAGACGTGGTCCTGATATTGAATTTTGGTCACCTGACATCACAACATAAATTCACCCAAATATCAAGTATCTAACATCGTTGGTGGTCAGCACAGACGCCATCAACCAATAACATTGCATTAAAGGGAAATTTTGGTTTATTTCAACCTGTCTCCTATCGTCCTAAATTTGTTTCAAGTGACTAGTGACATAGAAATAATAGTTAGCATGTTAGCCGTTAGCCTAGATACAGCCGGGGCGCATAGTAGCATCAGACCTGTTAAAACGTAAGTGAACGGGCAACCTTCAAGTGCAAAGTTAGTCCACTAAACAAGCTTTTTTTCCACAAAGACCGCCTCATATCGTTAGGATAAATGTCAGAGATCATATAGAAAATGACATGTAAACGTGTTGTCTTACCTTACTGGTGTGCTGCCATGTTTGTTTACCATCTAGCTCTGCTTTCCAAAGCGCGGCCGAAATCTCGCGAGAACAAGCAGCAACAGCTGGAAGGCAGAACCGGACACTAGCCTGAAAAGTTCATTCATTTATTTTATGAAAGATTTATAGAATAATGGCTGACTTTTTGCCAGACTTCGACTTTGTGGAGGAGGAATTTGATTTTGCAGAGTTTGATGGCCGCCCTTATTTATTTGAGCCAGAATACACTGACGAAGAGCTTCGTGAAATTGAAGAACGGAGGAGGAGAGAGAGAGAGAGGCGCGACAGGTAGAGGACGAGAGAGGAGGAATGGCTGCTGCAAGGCTGCGTAGCTCTGGAGATTGGTGGTGTACCTGTGAATGCTGTGCCCCAGTGCCCACAGAAGAGGAATGCCTCTGTTGCAAGGAATGGGACCGAGGACGAGACACCTCCACCTGGAGTAGTATCCAGCTGGGCTTTATCTAGAGCTCGCAAGATATATTTCGGCTGTGCTTTGGAAAGCAGAGCTAGATGGTAAACAAACATGGCAGCACACCGGTAAGGTAAGACAACACGTTTACATGTCGTTTTCTATATGTTCTCTGATATTTATCCTAACGATATGAGGCGGTCTTTGTGGAAAAAAAGCTTGTTTAGTGGACTAACTTTGCACTTGAAGGTTGACCGTTCACTTACGTTTTAACAGGTCTGACGCTACTATGCGCCCCGGCTGTATCTAGGCTAACGGCTAACATGCTAACTATTATTTTTATGTCACTAGTAACTTGAACCAAATTTAGGACGATAGGAGACAGGTTGAAATAAACTGAAATTTCCCTTTAAACAGACATCCAAGACAGCAAACTTTGTTACTCTTTTCAACCTTTACAAAGGCAGCGCCACTTCTTCTGTTCTTACCTTTCACATTAAAAGCCTCAGACATACACACTGTGTAACAGTTTACCATTTAGCCAAAGGGAAAATTTAATAAAAAAAAGCTTAGAAATGTTGGTTAGCACAACTAACAGAATGGCGTGTGAGTCAGTCACTATGACGAGCGGAAATTAAAACCCTGGAGCTAGAAGACCCACCTGCCGGTTCCAGGTGTGTCGGTCAGCTCCAGCAGCACCAGAGAGAGACTTATGAATGAGAACAGGACTGTGTGCCTGTGCTGCAGCTGTAGATGTGAGTGGAAACACATCTAACTCACATACAATGGCATCACCCAGATGTGCTGATCACTGGGACAAGGAAAAAACACAGCAGCTCCTTATCCCCGCTGCTTTCACCACACCCACTTAAGAAACCACTGTGCGCCATTTTCACACTGCTGGCACAAAGAGTAAGCGTAGTGGTTCAGTTTGAAAAGGAAGAAAAAAAAAACTTTTTACTCATGTGTGTTAGGTGCAAAGCGTCACTACCCACCGCTGTATATTCGTCACACCTTCAGCATGTAAAGGCCTTTAGTCTTATTAAAACTCCACTGAACAAAGTGAAATGTAAAACCTGCTTCTGTTGGCTCCTGGGAGGTTCATTTAAACAATGAAGTTTCCCACTGAACACTAATATGTAAAACAGTGAAGGAAGTACATTTTTCTGTTCCAAAGCCAGAATTAAAGTCTCAAAGTGTTGGACTGGGACCAGCCAAATGTGCTGTTGACTGCATATTAAAAATGATGCATTTCCAGTTGCATATGTTGCACTATTATATTTTTCCTCATTCACTCTTCATTGTGAGACGGTCATAAAAACACTGCAGCTTTGTGCTGTACATTATCA